GCGCGGTCGAGGGTCCCAGAGGGAATTGAGTGTTGAAGGAAGTGAGGGCCCCAGAGGGAATTAGGGGTCCGAGGAGGGGGCGTTTCGAGGCTAGGAAATAGGGTTTGAGGGGGGAGTTGGCCGCAAGCAAGACAGTTGAGGGGGGAACCGCAAGGCGGACGTCGAAGGTCCGAGTAGAAGCTGGAAGGTGTGAGGCCAGGATCCTAGGGAGTGTCGGGCGTCCGCGGAAGGCATGAGGGTTAGAGGGTGGGAATGCAGGGCCCAAGGAAGGCGGCGGGGAGTGGGGCTAGTAGGGCCAGGAGGAGGTTGGGGTGACCTTCTCTCCCATCCCGCTCTTCCCCGGGCCTGGAGAGGGAGCAGCCGGCTACTCACAGACGGGCATGTCGTTGCAGCAGTCCGTGAGACCGGTGTGCCAGTCACTGGGCTGGGTCTGGTAGCAGCTGCTGGCACACTGGGGCTGACTGGTCACTGGATAGGACATGGCTGCGGAGGTAGGGGACAGGGGTCAGCGGGCAGCCTCGCAGCACCTCTGCTGCCCCTCCCTCTGCCGGGCAGTCCGGGCGAGGCCACCAGGCCGCCCACTGAGGGAACACCACTACGCCTCCCTCTTCCCTTCTGCCACATTTGGGCATCAACACCCCAGTCTGTCCCCGTTGTTGCTGCCTCCTGCACATCTGGTTGGGCTGGGGATGGGGGAGGGATCCTGCATATCTGGGGAAAGGTGGGAGCCACGAGTGGGCGGGGCCGAGACGTGCCGCCTCCTCCTCCACGTCTGGGCCTGGGGTGTTGGGAGCCTCTGGGGTGCAAGCAGGTGCTGTCTGTCTCCGAAGCCAGGGCGCCCAAGGGAGGGAAGCGGCCGTGTTCCAGGGAGTGGAAGGTTTGCTGGTCCATCCAGTGATCCCACCTTTGCCTTTCACGTTGTCGTGCATCTCAAACTGCATCTTGCTGGCCCTGAGGAGATGGCGTTGGGGACGGCAGAGGTGGCGGTGGTGACAGCTTCAGAGCCAAAGGATGCTGGATACTGAGGGAGGGCAGGGCAAGGGGCAGGGGCACTAGGGGCTGGGTTCTCAGGGGGTAAGGAAGCTGGGGAGAAAGAGGTCAAGTCAGCTTCCCAGCTAGGAGAGATACGGCATAGGGATGTATGGGGTGGGGGGCGAGAAACTCGCCCATCTCTGTGCAGCTGCCCGACAGACCCCAGAGGAACCTCCTCATACCAGAGGCAGAGCTGGAGAGAGAGACCAAAAGACAGGCAGAGTCAGAAACAGAGAGAGAAAGAGATTAGAGCCAGGTGCCCACAGAGATGCTGCCAGTAACACTCACACCTGCCCAGTACTTTGATTTTTTGCAAGAGAAATGCTCCATATCTGATGGCCCAGCCAAAAGGGTCAGTAGAGGGGGTACTGGGACCCAGGACTTCCAAATTAAACCCAGTGCAATCATGTTGAGAAGGGAGGAGGTCACAGGGCATACTGAGAAAGACAGGGATGTCCAGAGAGAGAAACAGTCAGAGATGTAAGGAGACAGAGAGATGTGAGTGGAGTTGGGTGGGAAGAGAACAGAGCAGAGGCCACAGCCTCTTAGCAGAGGGCTGAGGGTAGATGCTCCTACCTGCAGCTCTGCAGTGGTGATGATGGAGACAGAAGTGTGGTGACAACAGGCACTGAGTTCTCAGTCTACGGACAGGAGTTGCTTATATTGGGGCAGGCCATGCAGCCCTGGGCGGGGCTGTGACAGAGGTGTCCAGGGAGCCAAGCCGGTCTAGCTGACCCTCTTCCCTGCACTGAGACTTCCCCTCCCTCCGTCTCCATCCCCCATCCCTAGCTTCCCCTTCCTGCCTGGCCTCAAAAGACCAAGGAAATCATGGGGGAGGGGGTCCAGGAATAAGGCGCTGGGAATGGAGTAGAAAGGGGAGTAGGCAGAGACAGAGATGGGCAGAGAAGGCAGAGAGGAGGTACAAGGGGCACAGCTGGGTCAAAGTACAGAGACCAAAGAGAGGGAGAGACTGAGGGATGGGAGAAAGGGGGGACACAGAGACAGAAGGAGAGACCCATAGAGGAGAGAGAGACAAAGAGATTTAGAGAGATGGAGAAAAATGGGAAGACAGAGAGAGAGATGCCGAGATATGGGAGGGTATAGCTCAGTGGTAGAGTGGATGCCTAGCATGCACCAGGTCATGGGTTGTATCCCTAGTAAGTCAGTTAAATAAAAAATAACAATAATAAATAAATAAACCTAATTACCTCCGCCCCCCTAAAAAGAGATGCTGAGACAGAGAGGCACAAAGATCTGGGGAGAAAAAACAAGAAAAGGGAGAGAGAGATTCAGAGAAAAGACACATAGTTGGAAAGGTGGAGGGGCAGGGGGTCAGAGGCTGGACCACCAGCCAGGCAGTGGCTTAGAAGGAAGGGAAAGGGGGAAGATCAGAAAGGCTGGTTGTGCAAGAGAGTGCAGAGTGGGGCCCTCTCCCACCATCCTTAGTGAGGTCCCCACTTCCCTGGGAGAGGGGGCACTGTCCTCCCATTGAGGGCCACCAGGCACATGGCAGGCAGTGTGTTTTGGGGGTGACTCATGCTGGAACCAAAGTAAACAAATACACCTCACCCAACTCTGAATTGAGAAGGGAGGAGGCTGGGGACTGACTGAAAAACCTATTCCTGAAGGAGGTGGCTGTGGCCTAGGATGCTTGGGTCCTCACAGAGCAGAGGACTGGGGGCCAGGACTCCTAGGTCTGAGGGAGGAGGGGGCTGGTGGTCAAGACTCTTAGGGTTAAGCTAGGCTGCATCCCTGAGTAGGGTAGGGGTCCTGGGATACCCACACAGCTGGGTTCCTGGGATATGAAAGAGCTGGGGGCCTGGATGCCTGAGTCACCAAAGTCTCCCCTCAACAGGCCTGGCAGGGTTGGAGGTGACTCAGTGAGGGAAACAGAATTAGAGCCGGGTGGGGTTCCCAGCATGGGTGTCACCCCAAAAATGTAGGAGGCACCAGAATATTGGGGTGTCACCTGTAGAAAGGTTGTGTTGTCACCCCACTGTGTATGGGTATGGGGTGATGAAGTGGATCACCCTGCTGGCCTGGAATTCCAGCTTTCCCCCAACCCTTTGGTCCAATACACCAGGACCCAAGCCTTGGACTTCTGGTACCACCCAGATGGCTTGCTGTCCTTGTCCCCAGACCTAAGGGCAGCACTCAGCGTCTTGCCTATGTGTATCCATCACTTGGTCTGGGGGCCTGAATGTCTGGGAAACATCTTCTGACTTCTGTTCTAGTGTCCCTGTCCCCCTACCTTCTCTGCATCTTTGTCTCTCTGGCTCTAAATCTCTCCTCTCTTTCTTTCCTCATCTCTGCAAACCTATTTCCAAATTTCTCTGGTTCTCTGTCTCCTCATCTCTGAGTCTCTCCTCCTGAGCTCGGTCTCAGTGCCCCAGCACCTCTCCCCATCTCAAGGCCTTCCCCATGGAGGCAGCCACAGGGCCCCATCCCCCAGCTGTCCAGACCATGGGCTGCAGGTGACTCAGGGTCCGACTCTAGGGCTTCCCCCAAGATGACAACCTGAGTTGTCCTCAGATTTCCTCTCCCAACTCTGATACAGCCTGGGGGCTCCAATTAGAGACATACAGCAACTCATGTAGGTGAAGAAATCGGGACTGAGGAAGCTGTGAGGTGGCATGCTTGGGGGTGAAGAGGAGGGCAGTGGGCAGGAAGGGGAGAGGCCTAGGCACTGAGGAGTGACCATGGCAGAGTCTCAAGGCCTCCATTTCCCTCAAATGTGGTTGCCAGATAAAATCCAGGATGTCCAGTTAAATTGGAATTGCAGATAAACAACAAATACTTTTTTAGTATATGTCCCAAATATTGGATAGAGCATACTTTAAAAAGTATTTGTTGTTTATCTGAAATTCCAATTTAACTTGGTGTCCTGTATTTTTATTTGCTAAATATGGAAACTTACCTTCAAAGACAGGGGAATCCAAGACCCTGGGCCTTTCTTTTCCTAGAACCCAGAAATCCTTCCTCAGAGTCTAGGTCCCTATCCCCCTCCCCGCCTCCCCTAAAATCCATGAAAGAGGCACAGGAATCCAGGCTCTCATCCCTTTTCTCCCCAGAATTCTGTGTCCAGGCTAGGTCAGGGTCCAGTTGCCCAACGTGGGTTTCACAAGGCGGGTGGTGCCATCCATGGCCCTGGCAGAACCGGTCTGGCTGAGCGCGCAAGTGAGGTGGCCCTCTTCCCATCCCAAGCCTGCTCCTTCCTCCAGGGCCAGCTCGGTGGGGCGGCTGGGAGCGGAACAGGAGGGACTCAGGGAGCTCTGGGTGTGTCACCCTGTCTGGGTTTGGGTGTGTTGTATCTCTGTGAGTGGGGTGTGCATCTTTAGGTGCTGTGCATCTGTGTGGGGATTGTCATGATGTATCTCTCCTTGTGTGCTCCTGTGTTCTAGGGTGTGACGTGTGAGGGGGTCTTTTTATTGCGTGTCTGAATTGACCTCCTGTGATTCTCCCTACTGTGCGCCTGTGTTTGGGTGTGGTCTCAGTTGTCAGGATTCTGTAATTTTGACTAGATTAAGGTAGGAATTTTGGGGGGGCAATTAGGTCTATTTATTTATTTAATGGAGATACTGGGGATTGAACCCAGGATCTCCTGCACGCTAAGCATGTACTCTACCACTGAGCTATACCTTCCCCACCCCAGGAATTTCTTCTTTTTTCCTTTTTTCTTTCTTTCTTTCTTTCTTTTTTTTTGGTGGTAGCTTTGTATGATGGACTCCAGAGCCAGGAAACCTTACTTCAAATCTTAATGACCTCTTAATGGCTGTGAAACCTTGGGCAAATCACTAAAACTTCTTGGACCTCAATCTTTCCGTCTACAAAATGGATTGTTTCTGAGACGATTAAATGAGTTAATTCAAGCCAAGAATTGTGCCTGGCCCACAGGAAACACTTTGTGTTTATGGGGATGATGATAATGATGTTCTAGCTGCTGGGGACACACTAGTGAAAGAAGCCAGGTCTTTGCTTATGGTCCCAGTAGGGATTGGCTGAATGGCCTGTTTGGGGCTGAGCATATAACTGCATAACTGGGTTGTCTATTTTGCATGTGGAATAGGATATTTGTGTGTTGCCAATGGGGGTGATTCTACAATTGTGTGCCTATGTGTGTGTTTGTAGGTGGTTGCATGTGCCATGTGTGTGATTCTCTGCGTGTATGAGTATAAATGGAGTATAAATGCAAGAGCACACCAAGCAGGTGTTGTGAGGACACGTTTGCTGTGATCTTGCATTTCTGACTCTGAGGTGCCAGGAGTATGCCTGTATTTGGGGACTTGAGAACTCTTCTCTCAGCCACTCTTTTACATGCCATACAGGACATGCTCATTCTAAAATGAGTGGCAGTTTCTCCCTAATGGGGATGGCGAGCCCAGTGGCTTCAGGAGAAACACCAACATGAAAGGGAAGGTGGGAGGAGACAGGTGAGACCTGGGAGAAAATGAGGAAGAACATAATGGAGACACAGAGAGAGATGGGGGGATGGGGACAGAGAAAGAGCTGCACAGAGAGATGTGGATGTTTGTCCATCCATTCCATAGCATTTGCTGACCCCTGCAATGTGCCAGGACCTCTGGCAGGCACTGGCTCGAGGTCTGGGGGAAAGTAGAGAGAACCAGAGAGTTGAAGACCCACCAGGAAAGCTCTTGCTGTCCCAGGGTGGCCCACCTGTGTCCACAGTGGGCCTCAGGGACAGTTTTGAGTGATGGGGATGCAGCAATGGGGAGGGCCAGAGAGAGCCCTGCCCCTCTCTTCTCCTCCCTGAGGCCCGATCTGTCCAGATCAAAGAACAGAGGCCCTGGGGGAAAAGGTCCTACCAGGCAAGGGGCACCCCTATGAATCATTTTCTTATCTCCTAAGAGGATAATGACACACCTGTGCCCTCCTAATCACTATTTTTGACTCCAACCAGGCCCAGCGCCCACAGTGAGAAGGGCTGAACAAGCCTGGTATGTTGGAGTCGAGGAGGAGATACGTGGGAATCCTCATTCCTTGTCCTTCCTCCCCCAGGACCCAGGAGTCCCAGGCCCCAACTCCCCACCCCCACCCACTAGGAGTCCCAGCTCTCAGCCCCTCTTCTTTTTTCATTGTCTATCTTTTCTTCTTCTCTCTGGGTCTGTCTTTATCTGTTTATTCCCATCTGTGTTTTGTGTTTCTCCTGTCTCTTTACATCTGTATCTTGATTCTTCCTCACTGTGCCTCAATTTTCTCACTTGTAAAATGGGAATAATAATAATAATAATAATAATAATAATAATAATAACAACAACAACCTGATCTCTTAGAGCTGTTATGAGGAACACATAAGATGATTTTGTAAAATGCTTAGCACAGAACCTGGGTCACAGTAAACGCCACACAAGAGAGCTCTATTATTATTATTGTTTTCAGTATCTTAATCTCTCAGTTGATATCTATGTTTTCTCTTTGTTTCCAGGTGGGTCTCAAGTCTCCTCCTGCTCTGGGTTCCTTTTGCACACAGCACCCGCCCCTGGCTTCCCTTTTAGGGGTGAGGAAAGGGCATTATCGAGGCCAGAGCTTCCCCTAAGCCTCTTCTTTAGTCCAAGCTCAGGCCCCCAGAACTCTTGCCTGGGGACAAGGCCTGGCTCCAACATCATAAAAAGCCACATAAAATCCTGAACCCCAAATCTGTCATCCTTGGGCAGGCCAGTGACTCTTGGGATCCAGGAGTCTCGTCCCTTCAGGTTCCAGCTCCCTTCTTCCTCACGATCCAGGAATCTGGACGCTCAGCCTCCTCCTCCTTCAGACCCAGAAGTCTAGGCTCCTCAGTCCTTCCTTCCTTCGGACCAAGTAGTCCATACTCTCAACACCCCATCCTCCCTCAGGACAGGATCAGGCCTTCGAACAGCCCAGCTGCGCGCCAGCCATCAGAAGAAACCTCTTTCGTGGTCCTTCTGCAGTCGACCGTGCTCTCAGCTACATTCCATTTCTCTTTTCAGAGGCGTGTCTGACACGGGCTCCTCCGGAGTCGAGCTGTGATAAGCTACCCGCAACGTCAGTCACTATCTTCCAGCCACTAGACACCCCGCCTCCTAACTCTGGGCCACTCAGGGCAGGGCGCGTCCTCCGTAGGCGGGTCCCCCAGCCCAAGGAGGACAGCGATAGGCTCTAGAAGACGCCAGTCTACGCCGGTCCTGCCAGTCTACCAATAGGCCGGGCCCTTGCGGGTTGGTGTCCGGGTCCGCTTCGTAGACACTGGAGCGACTCCTGAAGGGACAGGTTCTGGGAGTCTGGCCGGGTAAGCCCTTCACAGTACGTCCAGTATTGGCATTCTGGACAAAACTCGGACGGGAAACGGTGAGGCTTGGTGAAGCTTGAGGCGGAGCGGGGAGCTTAGCCGGGGCGAGTGAGAAACAGACCGGGATGCACAATTTTAGAAATTCATCTGTTCATTCCCTTCCTCCCACCCTAAACCTGATTCTCTTCTGCCCCTACCTGTCCCACTCACCCATGCATTCAGCCCTTCCTGCCCTGATTAAGTCCCTTACTTACTGATTTCCTCAAATAAGCACTCACTCACACTCTTCATTCATACTCAGCCACTCATTACTTAAACATTTCCTGAGGCTTCCAGTGTGTCAAGCCTTGTGCTGGGCGATGGTGGTGATGAAGATGAGTCAGGCCTGGGCCCTGCCCTCAAGGAGCCCAGGTCAGATGGGAGGACAGACCCACATATTGATGTGCATGGGTGTGCAGAGGCGTGGGAGTCCAAGAGTCTTTTTTGGGTTTAATGGGTCAGGAAAAGGTTTCCAGAGGAGGGGCCATTGGAGCTCGATCTTGCAGGAGCAGGGGATGCCAAGCAAAGGTGAAGAGAATGTGGAGAGGCTGTTGTTTCCACATGAGCAAAGACAAGGAGGCATGCAGGAGTATAACTGTGTGTAGGTGCCCAAGTGGAAAGCCAGTCAGGTCCGTATTGTGGTGGGGGAACTGTAAGGCTGGAAGAAGACAAAGAGGTGGGCAGAGGTCAGGCTGGGGAGCTTGGGCTTTGTCTTGGTGGCCTGGTGGCAAGTGAGGAACCATTGAAACGTTTAAAGCAGGGGAGGGCCAAGTTAGTGCTGGAGGCAGAACTGGAGGAATGAGACTGGAATTCAGTGGCAGAAGTTGGTTTGGGGAGGGACCCTGGATCCTGGATTAGGCCAGAGGCCGAGGGGATAAGGTAGAGATTCAGGAGGCGGGAAAAAGCGAATTTGGGACTTGATGGGCTCTGAGATTAGATGGTGTCCAGGACAAGACCCAGAGCTCTGGCTTGGGGGACTGGGGATGTTGGAGCCATCCCTGAGATGGAGACAGGGAAGAGGAACCGGTTGTGGTGATGACTGATTTGGTAGAGAGGAGCAAAGGGTCCTAAGGGCTGGATAGGGAGAACAGTGACTCGGGCCAGTGGGTCTGGACCTTCAGGGAGAGTTCTGGGCTCTGGTTCCCTCGCCCATCACAGGTCCTAACCCAGAAGTCACTTGTTGGGTGAATGAGGGCCTCTGAGTTGAGGGTCCCCATCTCCCCATCCCCTCAGGAAGCTGTGCTTTCTTGTGCATGTTTGTTTCTCCCTCCCTTCCTCCCCTGGCAGCATTAAAATGTTCTGTCATCTCTAAACACACACACACACACACACACACACACACACACACACACACACACCACTCACACACAC